GTGTTAACTGCAGGGTGGCTGAAGCCAAACCCCAGTTGGGTGTGGTGCAAACCCACATACTAGATTATTCATTAATTGCCTTGTTCCTGGCCTCAGGGGAAGAATGAAAAGACCTGATTGGGTGTAGGAGGTCGAGAGGTGGAGGTAGAGCCTGGTGCCACTGTGGTTCCTCAGATTTGGTGTTTTACTTTTTCTCTTACAACCCAATCACTGTACGTCCTCTTGAGAGGGTGTGAACCAGCACACTTTGTCAGCCTGTTAATAGAGGGCTACCTAGAACCATAAATCTCCTAGCTTTCAGAACGGAAAGAGATTACTGTCAGTAAAGAGCACTGTTTGAAGCGATCTACAAAAACCAAGAATTAACCCAATAAATACAGAACTACAGGTGGGTCCCTCACCTTGACCCAATCCTGGGCTGTTAGCCCTCTTAAAGTTTTTTTTTTCTTTTGGTATGCATTTATTTATGCATACAAGAACTGAGGTACAAGCCAGAGACAGGGTGCAGGGGATGAGAGGATTCACCAGAGATAGAGTGGGGAACAGAACAGGCAGATCAAGGAAGTATACACTGCTGAGGGGAGCAGCAGGTGAGACAGGAGAGGTTTGCTGCACCATGGGGGTCAGCTCCCTGGCCTGTGATCTAACTCCTGCTGGAGTGGCTGCAGAAAGCTTCATAGTGCTGAGATTTAACCCCTGTGCCACCAGGGAGGTCCTACCACCCCTAAAGTTTCACCAGATGCTGACCTTTGTCCCTAACTTGACTGGAAAGTTCCTTTTTAATTCATCCTGAATCCTAGAGGGAGTGGGGTGTCTGGCTCTGGAGGCCAAGGCCCAGAGCAGAGTTCCTTGGTGTACACTGAGAATCTGTGTCACACGTCTGCGGAACCTGGTTCCCTCCGTCCTCTGACAAAAAGAGGAAACTGTGGCTCAGGTATTCTCCTGGTGAGACTCTTACCCACCACTGTTTCCGTTCACCAGAGGCCTGGCACTGGCTTAGCATCACTTCTGTCACAGTTTTGCAGTCTAGCCACAAGGGCTGAAGAGACACAGAGAGGAACCCAAGGGGATGTGGGCTCCATTTTCTTCCCTCTTTCTACTCAAGAAGAGGCCTGCTGCTCTCCACAGAAGCGGGGCAGCCAACTGTCCCGGCTGGTTTGGGTTGGAGAGAGTTGGGGCAATATTCTGGGGGATGTAGGCCTTCATTGCTACCATGAGGAGAGCCCCAGATGAGCTGGGACAACTTGGTCACCTGACAAGTGACCGCAGAGGGCTCCAGAAGACCCACCCATGCATGGCTCTACTGTACATCCCCAGTGGCTGCGACTCTCCGACTAGTTTGCAGAAGAGAAGGGTGTAGGACCCACTTGTTAAATAACCCAATACCTGAATCAGAGGGCAGAACACTTAAAGCAGGCAGAATCCAAGAAGGGTTGTAAAGAGTGGCGAATATGATTTTAATTCAAGCACCAACTTTATCCAGGATGGGTGTAGGACTGACTGACTCTGGGCCAGGCCCGGGTTGGGGCAGAGGTCTGAGGTCGAGAAGGATCAACTCAGGCGCTGCTTTCTGCATGTTCTGCCCTCAGGGAAATGGCCAGGAGGAAGGGGGAGGGCAGCTGACCTGCAGTAATCTTGATGCTGAACTGCTTTAATCTTGATAAGGATTGTTAAAGCACAGGGCAGTGGTTGGCAATTCTGGATGCCCATTAGCACCATTTAAATCAGATCACTGTGGGAGGCAAGCAGGCAGCATTTCTGTCCCCCCCTGGCAGCCTCTGGCCACACGTGGCTTCTACATTAAAGTTAAGTGAATTCATAGGAAGTGGAATATAAAATTCAGCTCTTTCAGTGCACTTGGAACCTCTCACACATCCACCTGTGCCTACCGGCTTAGCTGATGAAACGGTGTTACTCCAGAACACATCCATGGGGCCTCTGTGACTATGGGCTAGTTACTGAATGCATTTAGTCAACTACCACAAAACCAGGCACACAGCAAACAGCTAATATGTACATTGCTTACTGTGTGTCAAGTACGTTCCATGTACCAACTGAGCCCTCACAAGCAACCCCCTAAATGCTATTATCACCCCATGTTTTAGAGGTGAGGAAACTGGGGCACAGAAAGGGTAAGTAACTTGCTGCAAATCACACAGCCAGGAGGTGGCCAAGCTGTGAAGTCCTGATCTACATTCTCTTGCAAGGCTGCCTTGGCGGTTAAATGAGAGAAACCACACAGAAAAAGGAATAGTGCTAAGTGCATTACTTAGTGCTCAACAAATGTTTATGTGGACAGTGGTGAGG